TTCATGATCTTCCAGTAAAAGTTTCAGAAAATGTATTTTTAAATAACCAGAGTTAAATCACAGAGCTTTCAAAGGGATATTGACTATCTCTCCAGAACTAACAGAATGTAATCGTTTTCCAGCAGTGCTTGACAGATGAATTCCAGGTCCACACTTCTCAGCTTCCTGTCACTGCAGAAAGGTCTAGATCTGGTTTTTCATTTTGCTTTAATGTAGCTACATGATTGTGCATCAGAGCCAGCATCTTTGCAGTCAGGACTCCCTAGTGAGCAATATGCAACCAGCTTTTTAAAAAGAAGATGATTAAAAAAAAAAAAAAGAAAGACTACAGGATGCCACAGTTATGTGATACAAGACCTTTTTTGGTTGTCAGACTTGAATGTGCAACTTCTGAAACATTCTCAGCCCTGCCAGTCCAGAAAGAATAGAGCATTTTAAGAATTATACATTGACCTCCACAAGCTGATATTTGTCATGGTAAGTCTGCAGTGGAGTCTATACTCCAGAGTACAGAAACTGCATTCCAATGCTGTCTGCTGACCTAAAAATCACCATTAAATATAGCTTTAAGACAACGAGATAAAACATAGGCATCGTTAAATCTGAAGTGTCACTAAAAGTGAAGCTATACATCACATCCAATCTACTTCCTGCACTGTGAGTTTTAAGTTAACATTGTTAGACTCAGAAAAACTCTGACAGATGGAAATATTATTTAGTACCTCACTGTTTCCTCCTACAAAGTGTCACTTGCATTATCATTTTTACCAGAGTGCACTATAGAATCTCATGGTTCACATCCAGTTCTGGCATTATGTTCCAGCTAGTTTTTCATTGCTATTTCCTATGTAAGAAAAATCCATTTGTAAGCTGTACACTTGGTTTGTAGTTAGACATCTGCTAGAGAACTGCACACACGTAAGCTACACCAATTTATTACTCAGGTGGTTTATAACTGAAGGTAACCAAATTCACAGTCAGCTTTCCCTCAAACAGTAATGAGTACAACAAACTGTGCACCACTTTCACCTGTCCAATTTATTTCTTGCCCCTGAGACTGTGTTGCCCTCCACTTCCTCTCTAATCCTCAGCAGCTCATGTGTTAAGCAGAATAACCTGACACAGCACTGAAATCAGAGTAAGAATGGCAAAGCAAACACATCAGCAAGAAGGTGCACTCATGAACTGTGGGTGCTGAGTGCCCAGCCACCCTCTCTGCCAGGGAACACAAGGGACAGGAGCAATGGAGCTCCCAGCAGACACACACTGCTGTTCCCCAGTGCACACCCTTTACCAGGAGCCATTTCCAACCAGTGCAAACACCTTCACATGAACAGTCCATTGATAATGCCTCCTTTAGAACACACTGCCCAAATGAAAGGTAAGTCTCCAAACGCCCCACAAATACACAGTTCAAAAGAGCCCAAGTTACCTCCACATCAGCAAGCACACCCCTATTTGAAGTTACTGATTTGAATAACCCAGAGCAATAATTCTAGATAGAAGATTTTGCAGTCCAGCAAGTGACTGCATTAATCTGTACAGTTCTGTAAATCAGCAGTTAAATTACAGCCTTGATTTAAAACCACTCACACAGGGACTTCAGGGGGATGACACAATAGCACTAAGATTTGGCTTTTGCAGCCAGCAATGTGACTTGCTACTTCTGGCATAAGAGTATTACTTTGCAAACTTAAAAGCATCAGGGGAAGGCATCACATTTTAGCCACAACATTACCTGAACAGTACAGAGGAGTCAAACTCACTGCTCAAACATAATTTACAAAGATCACTTTTGTCAACGTCTACCTACTTAAAAACCCTTTAATTAGTAACCCTAACTACTATTTTAGTCAATTTATGAGATGTGCTAATGACAACAGTAGGAGGCACACTTGACTCAGAATAACTAGAGCTGAGATGAATACATACAAGGGGAATAAAAGTGTTTGAAGGCCAACACCACACTAACAATTGCCTTGCAGCAATTGAAGCTGGGCACTGGCATGAAGCAGTAGCTGCTGAGCTCTTCACAGCTCCACTACATTCGCAGCAGGGCAGGTATTTCACATTTGAACACCTGCACACAGTATTTTAAAGTAGGTTCAGTAACAATTTGCTTCATAGGGACAGGTCACAAAGTAAACTAGGATAGTCCATCAGTCACACCTGTACTAAGCTTTTGTTACATTCAACAAAATTGACTCACAGACCCAGAAAAACTAAAGAGCCAGGACCTTGGCTTCCTGGTGATACTAAGAACCAGTGAATTTCAGCTCTTAGGTCACCCAGTGAATTCCAGCTCTCCCCCCTTCTACTTCCTCCACAGTTCCATTTATCAAGCAGAAGGGGCAATTCAATTACAAGGCAATTCAAGAGCCTTGAGGACATGAGCAACATCCTCCACAGTTTCACTAACTTGGAAACACAAGCTGCATTTCATAAACAGCATCTAAACTTCCTTTGAAAGGAAGCATAGTCACAGTCTCAGGTTTTGATCTTCATTGCCACAGAGCACACACAAGAAAATTAGGCATAGTTGCATTATTCAGCATGAAGAAGCCATTCTGACAGACACCAACACAAAATCTTCAGCAGTGCTGTTTAGAAGACTCTGGGGAGGTGGGACACCTCAGATGCCTGAGAAATACTGCTATTGCTATTGAGGAATATTATTTCAAGATAATTAAAAGTAACCACCAGTTAGTTATGGCTACTGTAACACAGCATGGAAAAAAAATCATTCACATTTCCCTAATAAAATAATTATGCTTTGAAGGTTCACCAATTTTCAAACTATGGCATCCTGGAAAACCAATAACATATATGTTTCAGTCCATCTTTGTGAATGCAGATTTCATTTTGATATAAATCATGCATAACAAATATCAACCCATCAACAATTATATTTTCCTGTGTAACAGGATATACCCACCATCCCAATAAATACCAAGTTCCTCCTTTTATTTCTAGTCACAAAAAAAAATAGGATTTAATCTTAAAATATTCTACTAGCTGTAGAGTCTCTCTCCTTCAGCAAATACTTTTAACAGCTATAAAATGTACATTCCTGTTTTAAACTTGTCACTTCATACTGACTCCTGAGAGGAAAAACACAGCCTTTGGAATCTGGCTGAACTTAACCCAAAAGGCACTCCTGCAATGCAGTTCCCCTCTGAGCAATACATCAAGTATTTCCCCCTTGCAAATATTTTCATTCATGCTTTTTGCAACTTGACCATTTCAATACTACCCACAAAATTCACCAACCAGTTGAAAGCCCAGCAACATTGCCTTTAAAAATGAGCTTCTTTAATAAATTCCTTCAAAGGTGGTGCTCCTTCAGACAGTTTGTCCACATGGCACTGATGATGATTAAGACACTTCAAGAGGCAACATTAGTGAAATGCAGCTGATGGCAAGCTGACATTAGTTTCTGATCAGTAAGTGTGAAGATTAAAACAGTCTTCAGAGATTCAAGTCACAGAACTCAAAAATTGGAAAGATTAAAATTTCAAATTAAAGTCATAATTTTGACTTTTTAATTATTTAGGTTATAGGGTTATTAATCTCCTCACAGTTCAAATGGCACAAGTAAAGCTTCAGCAGAGCTCAACACTCGATCATTTTACTTTTAAATTAAAATCAATGCTGAAACAGACCACCACAGCAAGTATGCAGCTAGCCTGGAGGAGCAGGTCATGCTGAAGGGTCACAAAATAAACTGGAAGCTTTCTTCCACAGTGAGTAAGCACAGAATAATGGCAATAACATAATGAACCAAGATATTGGTAGACTGCTTGAGCAACTGTCCAAAAGCAAATATGAATTCACATGAAGAAATACTTTAATACATTCCCTCAGCTTGACTGGAACAGATATACAAGTGCTTTTGAGAATGGTTGCAGTAACTGCACCAGAACTATCATTTGTGAGCCACTGACTGCTTAAAAACCCTACAAAGAGTTTTGGGACTTTCACCCAGTGCTCTTTTGTCTGCCCTAAATGGGATGGGAACACAAACAATAATAAAGATGTACTACATGAGCCCTTCTATGAATTGCACCAAAACCCAACACTAAAAAACAAACACTAAAACCTTTTAACTTAACTCTGAGGCTTTGGAAACAAACCAGCACACCAGGTATTTGTTCCTGGTACTCCAAGCTCTTCCCACTTCTTTCCAGGTTGTTGCACAGCAACCTGTGTCTGTTACACAAGCTGTGACTCGCAGGGAACTAAGGGTGTTCTTGCCATCCTTAGACTGGGCTCCTACAGAACTCTGGCTCTGCTCAGTCTAGAAACTTGATAAAAGAGCAGTGTCTTAGTCCAGTTTAATCCTCCAGCCATCCAGAAAGGCCAAACTTCAGGGTGCTTTCTAAAGCTTCAGAAAGATAATTTCTTTCCCTGTCCCTGTTAACAAATATGAACCCTGGAAGTTGGAGTGAAAATCACAGCTTTGCAAAACGAAACGCTGTGATACACTGCATGACTTGTGTATATTCCAGAGTTATCTATCCCACAAGAATCCACTGCCACTACCATTAAATGTCTGTGAAATTAATGTTTTCACATTTTCTCCTAAGAAAAACACCTCAACAAATTCTGAAACGTTAAGGGTAGCTCAAGTCGACATTCACTTACACATCTTCCCTCAGCCTCCCTGAAGCTGCACACAAGTGATTTTACAATCCTCCAAGCTACCTTTTGGAAGCATAAAATGCAAGACACTGTACGAAACGGAACTGTAGCACATTTTGTGATGATAAAGCTAAAAGACTCTTCAGAGAGCACAGTATTTAAAATAATTAAAAGGCAAACTGCCTCTATGGAAAGGATGCACCTTTTCTCCAAAGGACTGCCTCAGGTAAGGTTTGCAGTTCCTTTCGAATTAAGCAGACCTCGAGCTGATGGGTTTTATCCCCTTCAAGCACAATGACTAGCACCTGGGAGAGTGACTGTGCTGTGATAATTCACATTTTTTTATTTATTTATTTTACCTGTAGCTCGCACCAGGCAACTTCCACGGTGGTTTCAGTATCCAGTCCTTTATACACAGTTTTGAAAGAGCCTCTTCCGATCTCGATGTCAAACTTCAGGAAGCGGCCATCCGGGGAGATGCCCACTGCCTTGGTCTCAAGCTCTTCGATGTCTTCCTGCTGCGTTCTCCGCTCCTCAAATTCCCGGCTGGCAGCTGACAGGCTGCCAGAGGCACTGGTAGGGGGTAGCGCAGTTGCCTCATCCCCCTCCTCCTCCTCCTTGGGCAGCAGCGGGGCGGCATCCTTGGCGGCTGGGGGCTCCTCAGCAGCCTGTCCTTCCAGGGGGAGCGGGGCGGGCGGCGGCGGCCGCGAGTCGACCTCGGCGGCGGTGACAGGGGCGTAAGGGGTCCGGCCGGCGGCCGAGGGAGGGAACACCGAGGGAGCCGCGCTGCCTCCCGAGACAGGGGCCGAGGGCGCTGCGGGCTGCAAGCTGGGCAGCTCCAAGGCCGTGGCGTTGGAGTCGCAGATCACGCTCCGGCGGAAGAAGCGGTGCTCAGTGGCTGCCGCCCCTCGGCTGTCCTTGTCCATGGTGTGGCGGCGGCGCCGGTACTCCTCGCTGCGGCCTCCGTTCCCCGGTCCACCGCCCGCTCCACCGGCGCCGGAGGCCCCGTGCTCGGCGGCTCCCAGCTTGTCTCCGACGGAGCTGTCCGAGCTGGAACCGTTCTTGGGCGGCGGCGGCGGCGGCACCAGGAAGCGCGGGCTCGGGGGGCCGCTGCCGGCGGCGTCCCCCGACATGGTGCCCCGGGGGAGCGCGGCTGCGGCGAGGCGGCGGCGGGAGGCGAGAGAAGGGCCGGTCACTGAGCGGGGAGCGCGCCCGGCCGCGGCTGCCGTTGCAGCTGCAACAGAGGAGGGTCCCAAGGGCTCCTCTCGGCGGAGCTGGGAGGCTGGGCCGGCGGGGTGGATCCCCGGTCAGCGTATGCATCCATCCTGCAGCGGGGAGCCGGGCAGCGGGGCCGACATGGAGCACCGGGAGCAGCCACGGGGCGCTGGGCTGGAGTGGGGCACGGCGAGAGAAAGGAAAGCCCGAGTACCGGGGAGGGCCCCGAGCGGGGAGACGCCGCTACCTCGCCGGCTGCAGTTACTCCCGGCGATGGAGAGAGAGCGGGGCCGGCCCGGGTGCGGGAAGGGGAGGGAAAGGGGCCGGGACGCGAGGAGGGAGCGGGGCGCAGGCCCGCACGCCAAGAAAGCCGCCGCGCTCAGTCACTCGCTTCCGAGCGGCAGAGGCCCGGGCAGGCCCAGGGCAGGGAAAGGGGTCCGGGGGGCTCAGCCCCGCCTCACCGGGGCGCCCATGGCGGCCGCGGCCTCTCCACCGCCCGGCAGGCGCAGCCACCGCCCGCGCGGCCGGGCCGCGCTCTCTCCAACAGCCGCGGCCGCCTCGCGCGGAGCCGGAAACCCTCCTCCTCCTCCTCCCTCTTCTTCTTCTCCTGCTACTGCTCCTGCTGCCCGCGGCCCGCAGCCGCCGCTTCCCGGGGCTGCCGCTCCCCGGGGCCGCCGCCGAGCCGAGTCCGGGTGGCGCCCGGCGGGCAGGACCGAGCGCAGCCGCCGCGGCCGCCCGGCGACGCCTCGGCGCTAAATGGCGACGGCGGGAGCACGAACCGACACACGGTCCGGGGGGAGGAGGGGCCGCGCCGCCGGCCACGCCCCGCCCGAGCCCGGGCCGCGCATCGTCCCCTCCCCCCACCGCCAGGGGAGGTGGCCGCGCCCGCCGCGCGCGGTGCACCATGGGAGCGGTAGTTTCCAGCGGCAGAGGCGCACTGGGGGAGCCGCCCGTTGATTCCCCCGGGATGGGAGGGAGCGAGGAACGGGAGGGGAGGGAAGGACGAAGGAGGATCTCGGTGTGCGCCGAGGGCCAGGGGGCCGATATGCTGTGGGGAAGCTCGTCCTGCGCGGCCACCCCTTCCTCCACCCGCCCGGCAGGTCAAAAGGCACCGGGTGTGCTCGCGCTGCTCGTTTCTTCAAGTCTTGTGCTACACCCACACGTTAAATATTTTAGATGTATATATTTATTGAGATATTGTCTATAGGTAGATAAATATCTCTCAGAAAATATCCCGAGCTGGAAGGGACCCGCAGGGACACCGAGCCCAGCTCCTGGTCCTGGCCAGGACACCGCAGGAGTCACACGCTGTGCCTGAGGGCATTGTCCAAACGCTCCTTGAGCCCTGGCAGGCTGTGCTGTGCCCACTGCCCCGGGGAGCTGTTCAGTGCCCACCAACATCTGGGGGAAAAGCTTTTTATAATATCCAACCTAAACTCCACCAACATCAGGCCATTCCCTCAGGTCCTGTCACAGGTCACCAGACAGAAGAGATCAGTGCCTGCTGCTCCACTTCCCCTCATGGAGATGAAGACAGCAATGAGGTCATGTTTTCAAACAGCCTCTAAAATTCTATAAAATCATGGGCAACAACGACTCCGTGTAGCTGAGTAGTGTACAAACAAGTAGGGGGTTGGGTTTTTCCTCCATTTAGGCCATCTGAAGAAGCACTAAGTGGCCAAGCAACCTGAAATGCAATTAGCTGCTCTGTAAATGTCATTATTCAAAAGAAAGAGAATTTTCAGCCTCTGCCCTTAACACAAGTGTTATCTTGTGGCCGCTTCAGTCATGCTTGTGGCTGCTGCAGCAGAACCCTGTACAAAACCTGGGCCTATACAGCATGAGCCCTGACATGAATTGGGAACTTTCAGGTTAACAAGGCTTTGGCAAAGGCGAGTCATCTAAATTATTTATATCACGTTCCTCTTTTGTATGAATAAACCAAAACCAAGCACTTTCCTTCTTACAACAGCAATCTTTTGAAGTCAACTGGAATGTACTGAAGAGGGAGTAAATGATTTTGTACCATGACTTTCAGGCAGCTACAAAGCAAAAGTTACACTCAGGAAAAAAAAAGAAAACTAAGAAAATTCCCTGAGTAAGTAATATGTTCCCAGCAAACACACTGTTGTTTCAAATACTTTTTTTTTTTTTTTAAGTTACTTTTAAACTTTTAAAGCAGTTTAGAGGAAGTTTTGTGTTGCTGATACAAAGCCTTAACTCCTTCTGCAAAAAGTAGCACAAGTGGCCCTTTCAGAGTTCCACAGCTCCCACAGATCCCTCAAATCATCAATCTGGGCAATTCTCATGTGCTTGTGCTCCTCACAAATAAAATTTGACATAGTAATCAGCATACTGCTGTTTGCCATTAGATCTTTCTGTGCATCCTTTCTGTACTTCCTTTTTAGCCTTTGTAACATCAAACAAACTAATGGTACAGTCTTCACAAAGGGGACAAGAAGTGTTTTGTTGTACAGCTCTACAGTAAAGATTTCTGCATGGTTTAAATGGATTTCTGCATGGTTTCTAGGGCTTGCCTTCACTGAAAATGTGGATTTCGTTTGTGTATTCATCAGGGTGCCACTTGAACTGCATTGGCACCAAGAGCAGACACGCTCCAAACCAATGCTGAGGGTAATTTGATTAGCAGCAGAGTGGCTGGATCGAAACTGATTAACTCAGAATTCAATCTGCCTCATCCCTGCTGCACTGCCAGCACCAGCAGCTCCTCTGATCGCTGTCAGGCTTCGGCGTGACCATGGGTATCTGTGGATGGCTCTGGGCAGCTGAAGGAATTCCGGTGTAGCAGCAGCAGGTGTATCCATGCTGGCTTTATACTGTTGAGAGCAGTAGGACACAGTAGCAGGGCTCCAGCAGGCCCCATTCCCTCCCCTGGCCTTTTTACCACTCCTTAGGATGGGACCATGAGGAGTGGAGAGCAAACCTTGCTCCATTCCGTGCCTGATGTCACTCGTGTGGCATGTACCGAAAGTGATAAATCACTCTGTGTGCTGAAAGGCCACGGAGCTGCTGGGTGAATTCCACTTGCATCATCACCAGGAGGTTTGGCAGGGCAGGCAGTGCCAGCTCTGTGGCCAGCCACATCCCTGAGATCTCCCACTCAGGTGGGTGGGATGCATCTGGGAACCACCTCCCTTTGGGCTGCACATGTGGCTCGCAGGAGACCTCGTGTGCAGCCCCTTCTCACTCAAGTGCCTCTCACCCATTCTTCTTCAATATATTTCTCAGTTAAGTAAGCAAAAGCTTTGCTAAAGAGACTGCAGCACAGCCACAGGGGGCCCGAGGCTGTCTTTGCCTAAAAAATTGTGGTAATTATGTAAAAAGGCACCTCCCCGGTGTCTGATCCAGCACATTCCTTAGCACTCTCGAAATTCAGGGAGGCCGCTCCTCAGTGAGAGGTCTCTAACACCCGGCTCCTCTCACTGGCTCCTCTTCTGGGCAGAGGTAGGCAGAGCAATCATCTTGGCAGGAAAAAGAAGCTGAGCAGCTGACCTGGAGGTGGGAATGATGGATTTTTGTCTTCTTTGGCTCTGAAAAAAGAAATGGTATGATATTGGCAATTATATTTTATGTGGGTGTTGATTTAATTTTGTCATTCTAAAAAAAGATGAATGTAATAAAGAGTGTGGGCTTGCTTTCCCTTCAGTTTTATTTCTTTTAATCTCTAAAACTCTGTTTAGGCTAAATGGAAAATTTCAGTATTGCAGCAAGATTTAATAAGCCTAAAGTAAATTCTATATGTATTCTATGTTTAGAAACAATTAATTAAAATAGTTTTGGTGCCAGAGCTCCTCAACCAATTAAAAATATTTTTTTTGCCTTTTGCTGTAAAACACAGAAAGAAGGAGCCTGACTACACTTGAGAAATTACAAGCAAAGAGACTTAAATGATCTTTTGATAGAATCCAAAGGGCTTACACTTGACATCGTAAAAATATCCTTCTCTCAAGCCTTTTATAGTTACAATTATCTTGGTTGGAACAATAATAGCTTAAAAATTACTTTGAATGAAGTGTGATTTTGAAGTTGACTGAATCAAAAATTTTTTTTCAGTTTTGCTTTCTCCATGAAATTTCATCCCCTGTTGGCATCCATGACCTGTCCATGTGACAAAGTCTTAATGGGAAGCAGCTATTCTCTATTTTCTCTTATGCAATACATTATGCAATACAAGAGGCTATGCCATAATTTTGATGCATGTGATTTTATTCCATAACCTAAGTGCTCTGCAAAGCAAACTCCTCATCTCATTTTTATTGCCCATTACCAGATTGCAGCTACGGTGCCATATTACAACAGTGACAGTACAAGTTTTTCTACAGCAGTTTCTTCTTTTTCCTTGACATTTCTTAAATCTAGGCCTCTGCCACAGTGTTCACTCTTGTTTCTTAAAGTTGAAAGTAGATGAAATAAAATATTTCAAGACCTCATGCTTGAGAAATGAGACAGTTTCACTTGCCAGGTATTCTGTTTTGCTTTGTTTTATCCCCTAGCAAGTCAGTTTCATTTATTTTATTTTAGGTGAGGCTTTGTACTTGCAAGTAGCTCTGGAAGTTGGGTTCGTTGTGAAATCATTGTAACCATCTCTGGGACCTGTAGGCAGTTTAAGTCCTCAGGCTCTGTAGTGAGTGATCCATCAGATGGCATTGCTTGGTGAGTCCTGCCCAAACCTCTGAACCTGGGTGCTCTCTCCACAAGCAGGAACCTTGGGAATTGGAAAGAGAAAGAACTACAAGTCTTACAGGCCTTACAACATCTCTCTTTATGCTGTCCTGGCTTACAGAGTCTGCAAGTTCTGCAGGAAGACAGGTCCACACCACAGCCAAAACACCTGAGCAAAGTCTGAGCTGGAGCTGAAGGACTGGTGAAACAGCCACTCAGACTGTATAAGAAGGACTAAATCCAGGAATGATGAATTATGTGACATTTCTTATTTATTGCTTGAGAAAATGTCAACAACCCTGCACCATAAAACTGGAGCAGAGCATGTGCTTCTTCATCAGATTGAAACATTCATTTCCCTTTCACCCACCCATCCA